ACTTTAATGCTTTCCTTATTAGGCTGAGATGCCAACCTGAATTCTGCATGCTCCCCAGCTTCCTGTGATCAAAACCAACCCAGCAACAGCACATAAAGAAATAAAGTGTGTCCTGCCTGCAAACCAACCCAGTCAAAAACCGCTAACGAGGATCCCTGGTTCCATAAATAAGAGTTTCCTTGCCAGCAGTAAAATTTCTAGAAACTCCTGCTGTGTAAGCTGGAAGACTTCAAGCCGCGCTCTTTATTCAGCAGCAAGCTGCCCTTAGATAAATTACACTGATGACCAAGTACAGCTCAGGTAATGTGAGCCCACAGTATCGCTGACATTCTTCATGTCACGCACCATTATCAGACTCAATGAAGCAAACCTTTGGAGATCAAAGAGAAGCCTGGTCCTCCCTGCGTTTTGCTGTGCTGAACATTTTAACTGCTTGGTTAGTCTATTTTTAACTTATTTAAATGGAGCCCACTGCTTACTGGCTCAGAGAGTACTGAGCCAAGGGCTCTTGCCCGCCTTGTATAGTTCTTTCTGTCCTTTAAGAACTTCATGCCCCAGATTTCCCAATGCAGATCCTGTTAGGGGAGTTACAGGTTTAAGATCTGATTGGCATCCCTTAGTTAGGGGAAATTAAGTCAAGACCAATCTTCTTGGAGAGGAAATTTTGTTAGTTAACTCTGGATAATGAGAAGTAGACAGAGTTCAGATATACCCTGGTCACAAAAAAAGCTTTACTGGATTCTTCAGCTGAAGGCAAGCAAAATTTAATTTAAAATGACTAGACACTACTGCATTCTATGGATTATCTGTGGTGTCATGATGGTATTGAGGTGTTAATAGAGCTAAAATGCTTCTTTGTTGCTTTGTTAATCTACCCTCTGGGTACTCGACTTTATAGACTGGGAAAACTGTAGACCCACAAACTTTGTTACTCTGTGAACCAAGAGCAAACACAGACCCAAGGAGGAAGCAGGCCACAGCAGATTGAGAGCCCTTCAAAGACAGCCATGCACCCATTTGGTGAGAAAGTTTGGGCACAACAAGGCAAAGCAGTTGTCGGTGTTTGTGATGTATCCCTGCCTCACCTTATGGAATGAAAGAGAAAAGGGGTGGTGACATGCTTCTAATGTGTGCTAAGCCATCTGGCTGCTGTCTTCATTTATTTGCTGTGTACTGTGTGATGGTTTGGAATCTGCAATCCTGAAGACATTCCCAAAGTGAGACGGTTAGGGGCTCTGGGAAGCAGCAGCAGCAGTCTTCATTTCATACGTTTCCTTTAGTTGTTCTCGCTGATATCTCAAGTCAGCGTCTGGAATATCCCTTCACATCAATCTTCTATTTAAGAATGGCCTTGGCCGGGCGGTGGTGGCGCACGCCTTTAATCCCAGCACTCGGGAGGCAGAGCCAGGCAGATCTCTGTGAGTTCAAGGCCAGCCTGGGCTACCAAGTGAGTTCCAGGACAGGCGCAAAGCTACACAGAGAAACCCTGTCTCGAACCGCCCCCCCCCCAAAAAAAAAAAAAAAAGAATGGCCTTATATTTTAACACAAGGCTTCATAGTGAGGATGGTAGCATCACTTGCCTACTCATTGACATATCACAAATATCTATAGAAACAACAGCACATTAAGGAAAAAAGTTGAGCCTTTGGTGCCTGCCATGCCCGCCAGTGCCTATATATCCTTATAACAACTTGCAGTGGTCTGCTGCTATTCTTCCCGTGTGGAACCTGAAGCTTAGTTCCTAAGGGAACTAGTTCTTAAGTTCTTAATTCTGGCTAAGTTTGCTACTGTGTGCCAGGTTCCCAGGGATGACTCTATGTGTTGTAATGGCTGACTCAGCTGCGTGGCTGGGAGAATTTGCTTTCATTTCCATAATCTAGTATCTTTTTCGTGATCTAGTTGGCTATCCACTGTCCCATAGGACTGGCAAGTTTTGAAGGGGTTGCACTATATCCAGTCTTGTAACTCTAGAACTCTTTCATCTACATTTTTTGCCCTTCTGACAATGTATTCCAGGCTATAAAATCCTCAAGTGATTTCGCCATGTATGCTTTTCAAAAATCATTCAAATTCTATTCTTTCCCATGACTGACTTTTCTTTCCTCACTCGCTTGTATTTCTTCCATTAAAACAAGCATGGAAATGATGACAAGAATGTTTTCAATCACAAAAAGACATACCACTACAGTATAAATCCTTTCTGTTGTTGTTTAAAACTATTTTATGTGGAAGGCTGAATGAAAATCAGACACCCGAAAGGGAAGCGATCTAATTTCTGAAGTCACGTGGTGTATCAAGAAATACTCTATGCAGGGCTTCAAAGACCAGAGACTGGAGAACACCCTGTTTTGTCCACTTGGTTCTAAGTGCAGTTGGGGTGTGCTGGAAGAGAGGAGCATGGCCGTGTGACACAGGCAGCCGAGAGAAAGGCGGACAGGTAGGTAGCGCAGGCGCAAGGAGGGGAATCCTGGAAGAGGAGACGTGGAAAAGTAGGCTGTCCCAGTAGGACACACACACACACACACACACACACACACACACACACACACACACACACACACACACACACCAGGTAGACAGTTTCAGCCTGGGAACAGTGAATGCAGGTTATAGCCTCCTGTCGTCTTGAGCCAGAGTTTATAGCATTTTTTTTTTTAGAAATCACAGAAGATGTATTAATTCTTATTTCTTCCTATTTAGAAATATGTTTACTTCAAATTTAATTATATACTTGTTATGAGGTTAATTTAGGTACATTATTAGTTTGTTTTAAATTTTAACAAAAAGGCGATGAACTAAATAATTTTCTGCATTAATTACCATTATCTTTCTATTAATAAGAAAAATATGCACACCTGTCCATTCTCCTAGGGCTAAATTATATTTGTTTTTCAAGAATAAACTCAACTTGAACAGGATGCATTATTTTTTAGTGGATGTGGTTTACTCCTATCATGTAGAATTTTGTAATTATTTGTAAATGAAATAATATATAATTCTTGTACACAGTTATAGTGCATATGACACAATAGTTTTAAATAATTATTTGTGAGCATCTTCTGTCATCTTCCTGTTTTGATACATGTACAAGGTTGACTACAGGGCTGCAGAGGCGGCTTGGGGGTGAGGAGCACTATTGCTCTGCTGGGTACCCTGAGTCAGTTCCCAGCACCCACATGATGGTTCACAACCACCTGAAATTCTAATTTCAGGGCATCCAATGCCCTCTTCTGTCCTCTCCCAGTGCCAGGCATGCGCTGGTACACATACATACATGTAGGCACTCACATGTACACATAACTTAGCAATAAATCATTTTAAAGAAAAAGAGTAGATGGTCAGTTTGGGGGCAGATTGAAATGTATTATTCCCAACTAAGGTGGAATTGAGGACAAACAAAAGTTTGAGAACCATGAATCTTATGAATTGGGAGTGTGTGTGTGTGTGTGTGTGTGTGTGTGTGTGTAATTATGGGCGTGTGTAATGACTCCAATCAACAAATGAGGACTAATTGAGAATGCAGATGAGTGTGCACACCCTTGAGACACTTGGATGACTTTATGCATCTCCCTGTGGTTTGATAAATGCACCTGTGATAAATGATTTTTCTGTGATTTCTGGCATATAAAATCCAATTCTGGTTTGAAGTTTTGTCTTCCTTTTATTTAGGCTTGTGTGTGGTATAATCCCATCTGTGTATTTTTTTCATGTGTGTGTGTGTGTATGTGTGTGTGTGTGTGTGCATGTGTATGTGTACATGTCTGTGTGTCCAAGTATGTGTGTTTGTGTGTGTCTGTGTTTGCATGTGCTTGTGTGTATGTGTGTGTATGTATGTATGTGTGTCCATCTTGCTTTGTGTGTGTCTATATGTGTTTGTGTTTGTGTGTGTCTGTGTTTGCATGTGCTTGTGTGTATGTGTGTGTATGTATGTATGTGTGTCCATCTTGCTTTGTGTGTGTCTATATGTGTTTGTGTTTGTGTGTGTCTGTGTATGTGTGTGTCTGTATATTTGTGTGTATCTGTGTTTGCATGTCTGTGTGTATGTCTGTATTATGTGTATGTGTATCTATTTCTCTCTGTGTTTCTATGCATGTGTGTGTATGTGTCTATGTGTATAACTTTGTGTGTCTGTGTCTTTGTGTACATGTCTGTTTGTGTGTGTGTCTATAAGTATATATACATGTGTGTGTGTGTGTGTGTGTGTGTGTGTGTGTGTGTGATTTGTGGAGCTCCTGTAACCTGGATCCTTTTTCACTTTAATTATTGAGGTAGGGTGTTTACCACTCTAGTGGTGGTGGGACCTGGGAGAAAGAAGCCAAATAAAGAGGTGGACTAAAGTCTCATGCAATAGCCAACTTTGTTCAGAGTCCAAGGCTATTTATACTCTAATGGTTAAGAGGAGTCACATGAGTAAAGTGTCCAATCACAAGGGCAAACCTCATGTGTCAGAGAAGAAGCTACACCCAGCAGAAACCTTTTTCTGTACAGTCATATAAACAAATAACAATAACCAGTTGTAAGGAATAGTCCGAAACAAACTCACTCCTATCCTCGACATCTGGGAGGGGCACAAAACACATTCCAAGAACAATTCCATGTTTTTTAAGAAACTGAGGTCACAAGACTCTTGTCTTGTTTTCTTGACATTTTCTCACAGCACTCATATTCTCCTCACACAACTTCATTTTTGGATCATGTTCCGATGGTAGGGTATCTCTCTGAACATGTTTGTTCACTCATTGTGGCTCTTCTAGCTGGCCAGCATGTTCTCAGTACCCCCATCACTGCTTTTGGTAAAATGGGATTGCAGATGGGCTGACATGCCCTATTGGCACTGACCAGTCCCAAAGAACTTATTTATTAAAGACTTCAGTCAGCTGTACTCTGGGAAAGATGGTCTTGAGTAAACTAAGAGCATATCCTCAGAAGTCTGACTTTGGCTGGGCAGTGGTAGCACACGTCTTTAATCCCAGCACTCGGAAGGCAGAGCCAGGTGGATCTTTATGGTGATATTTTATTTGGTACATGGCCGTTCTTAGTTGGTGGAGTGATTTGTCTGGTTAATTCCGATAACAAATGAGACTCTGACATGCTAACTAGTTACGTGACTCCCAAGCTGTCTCTGTTAAAATGAAACAGTTTTTTGTTTATTACTATATAAAGCATATTACAAGTATACCACATAATCCTACAGGCCATGCAGTTATAGAAAGATCAAACAGAACTCAAAAGGATATGCTAAATAAACAGAAAGGGGTAACAAAAACCCCCAGAAATAGACTGCATAATGCTCTATTAACTTTGGATTTTCTCAATGCTAATGAGAAAGGAACAATAGCTGCAGAGAGACATTGGATAATAGAAAAAAACTACAGAATTAAATCAGCCTATATACTTTAAGGATGTGCTGACTTCAGAATGGAAACCAGGATATGTGTTACGTTGGGGACAAGGTTTTGCTTTTGTTTCTGCAGGAGAAGATAAGCTGTGGATGCCATCAAAATTGATAAAGATTCAATTTGAACAAGAGAGACCTCTTAATTAGAGGAGGTAATAGTTCATCAACCAGCATGAATATCCAATTTAAACTAACTTATACCAGTAACACATGCCTTTTTATTTAATCAGATAATAACTTGCCAAAAGGGAATCTCCCCAAAATTAGTCTTGGGGAAAGGTTTTTGTTTTTGTCTTTTAAGAGAATGAAGGCTAAGGAATCTGAAGAACACTGGACAAATGAGACAACTGAAGAAAGGGGACAAATCATCTATCCCAGTAAACAGAGTAAAATGGCCTATTGGTATATCATCTAAAAAATTTTATAAGTCTTCCTAAATGTTTGTTTCTGTTCTTCTCTAAATACATTTAACACTATTGGTCTTCTTGTAGTCCCAGTTCAATTAAAATTTAAAGCTGACTTTGGAGATGGAGAATGACTCTCTCCTTTTTTAAAGCATGTTGTTAAAAGGAAAATGCAAACTCCCTGTATCATGCCAGAA